CCCCCCTCCTTTTTTCCAAAGCTGTGCTTGATCAAGCTCATGAGCAGTGTACAGATCCGAACGAAAAGCCATGAGGGATGGGTTCTAGTCTAGGCTATCTAAGTAACTAAGATAGCCTAGGTTCTACTAGTCTATGGGCTCTAGTTCCAGGCTCGAGATGGGATTGTTCCCGGGGCAGCACCTTCATCCCTTGATAAAATGTTTTTCCTGGCCCTGCCTCTAGGGTTGCTAAACAAACATGTCGGTGCGGAACGTCAGACGTTATTTTTAGGCTACCTTACCTCCTCACGTATTTTCACTCTCATAATTTTGTTTATTCAACTTCGGGCTGGGGAGAGTTACCCCGCTTTCCAACCCTCGTTGATTTCGAGTCAGGTGTAATCTTTGCAGTATTTCCCCCTTGCCGTTTGTCTCCGGTTTCTCTCGAGATCACTCCACAAAATGCAGATTTTTAACGTTTTTTTAAAGGAACGACCATCCTTCTTACCCCCCCCCCCCCAAAAAAAAACAAAAAAACCCACAAAAAAAAACAACAAAAACCAATCTAGATTCTACCTTTTAAAAATCCCCCAACCCATAGCTGTTGGCTTTTTCAAATGGCTCAACTGTTACGTTAGTGAGGAAAAATAAGCTCGTTGGCAATCCTGTACAGAAAACATTTACTCTAGATATTTCGCCAAGGTTCCTTAAAGCTCTTGTTTCGCTAAAAGTTAAAGACTGGACCGTTGCACAGTCAGAGACAAATGTAAACTCTTATATCGATGTTAGACCTATCTGTATTGTACAAAAGAAAAGAACAGACAAGAATCCAAACAAATCAGTCGTGAGAGACGAGTCCACATTGTACTCCTGATTAGTGAGTTGTGCAGTCTTTACAAAAAGCTATGAAAAATATACAAAACAAATAAAAAGATCTATTTTGGCGCAGTAATTATTTTTTTGAAGAAAAAAAAGACTGCAAGTAAATTATCAAGCATAGTCTTTCCTCCTATATGTCTACTCCCCTCTCTCTCCTCCATACACCCCCCTTCCTTCCCCTCTTTTTTACCTCAGTTTTTGTGGTGATCTTTAGCCGCAGCGTAACATTTAAGTATGTGTATTCAAAAAGCCTTGTAAGAATTAAGTTTTAAAACACAAACAACAACAGCAGCAACAAAAGCCCATCCTGTTCTGCTGAAATAAGCCCCAAAAAAGTGTTCAGTCCAATAAGACCTTACCAAAGCCTTGTTCTTCACGCTGGTCCAAGGTAGAGAACTAAACGCCAATATGGAATAATGCGTTTCACAGAAAGCTGATAGAAAATGCTTATTTTTATAGTGTCTGGTTGTTAAAACGCATTAAAATACCATTCTTTGTTGTGACATGCTTCTTTCGTTCTTTGCAAGGTCTCTCTTTTTATTTTAAAAAAATGTAGCCTAGTGCTCTTCTTCCTCCGTGTTGAAGAATGTTTAAAGACATTTTTGAACGTACAGATTTCATTATTTGCTGTTGCAAACTCTCAGTGTCCCCTGGGTTGTTGTTGTATTGTTTGTTTGTTGTTGTTTTTTTTTTGGGGGGGGGGGTAGAGTTTCTATAACCTTGCTCAGATGACCCAGACGATACAAATCTTTCAGTCTCGATTTGGCAAGTTCTTAAATTTGCAAAAATAAAGCAGTGGCGTTATTTACTTTGCATAGCACAGCCATATCACTTCAAACGTCATTAACAGAAGGCTCTTTTTCCATCCGGGTTAGTGCTGGTATTAGAGTTTCAGTTCAGGAGTTTTTCATTTGCTGTTAAGAGATATCCAACACCTCACGAAAGGGTGCTGTTCCAAAATAGTGAAAATCGAAACTCTCTCTTAATAACGTCTCGGTCACCTCCTCCCCAATCCCACCTCGCCCCCGCCCCCCACTCTATCTCTCTCTCACACACATACACACACACACACACTCTCTCTCTCTCTCTCTCTCTCTCTCTCTCTCTCTCTCTCTCTCTCTCTC